ATGCTGAGCATGACGTCATATGGTGTGGAATAACCCTTTGGTCAGTTGGGGTCAGCTGTCCCAGCTGTGTCCCCTCCCAGCTTCTTGTGCACCCCCAGCCTGCTCGCTGGTGGGGTGGGGTGAGAAGCAGAAAAGGCCTTGACTCTGTGTAAGCACTGCTCCGCAAGAACGAAAATATCCCTGTGTTATCAACACTGTTTTCAGCACAAATCCAAAACATAGCCCCATACTAGCTGTTATGAAGAAAATTAACTCTATCCCAGCCAAAACCAGCACATGGTGATACTAGTATGATTACATAAACTGGAAAAAAATAAAAATCACAACCGTAGCTCATATAGCTGCTGGTAAAGACCTATCTTTAAGTAAAACTTCACAAAGTTAATGAAGCAAGATTGGATGGCTATGAAAAAAAGAGTTAACAAAGCACATCAAGAAATGAAAATAGTTGGAAATGAAAGCTATTATGAAAATGTACTTGTTAACTGACTCTCACATGTCAGAAAGTAAATTCTGCACAACCCCGGAGTGCTACCAGAGTGCATGGCCATACCAGTGATTCGAACTTTCAGATGGAATCAGTGAAGCTGGCTGTCACACCTGAGCATGAAAGATAACAATAAGCTTGTGACAGAAAACATGAAGATACGGATGGGACCAAACTGCTCCATGCAAACACAAATGGTTCAGACCACTGAAAGGACTGTGTGCCTTCTAGACTAGCTGTCTGCTTTCTCTGATTATATCAGCTCGTCTAATAAAAAATACCCACTTCCAGAGGCACTTGGGTTCTCCTATATCCTCTAACTATCACAGCTAGAAGACTACCACAGAAGACTGTTAAAAATTCTACCTTCTGCATTCTGACCAAGAGCACAAAGATTACTAAAAGTAACAATTTCACTTCAAATATGCTCAGAAGTCAAGGTTATTCCTGGATTTCAGAAAATCTTCTGTATGGCTAGTATATTATTTCTGACACAACTTGGAAAAGAGAGCAGCAGAAAACAAAATATGTGAAGAAATACAGAACTGGCATGGAGCACTCGGTTTCCAGCCAGCTCTGAGATCAAAGGGCCAAGTTTTACAGCTACTAGGAGAATCAGTGGGAAGCAGAAAGTGGAGCTGCACCTGCTATGCAAACTGCATAACTACCTGGAATGGTTCTCCTTCCCTGGAAAAAAGGAAAGGCAGAAGTAGGGCAGCCAATCATGCAGAGATTTATTTCAAGATGTGACATTTTCTCTGCCTTCAGAGATTTCCTCTGAACTTCGAACAACGTCATCTCCTTCAGATTACCCTCTTCATGACATTAGAGCAGCCCACAGCTTTCAGATTGACAGGGTTATGCAAAATGTAATGAGTGGTAAACTAGATCATTAATTCTACTGATTAAACAGAACCAACCTCTCCCTCTCTATCCATTTGGGCTTTCTGATGTGGGAGTGAAAACCGCACAAAAAAACCAACCACTGACAACTAAAGCTATTAGTCTAATGACATATGAAAATAGCTGTTTTGAGGTGTTGTTTTTGCATCCGCCATTTTCTAACTAGAAAAACGTTAACTGTGTCTGAAGATCATGTATGTATGTATGTATGACAGAATGTAACAAAGAGCAAATAAATGCTACAAGCAAAATGAAATGGGAAAATGCAGTATCTTTCTTCAATGGCAGTATACCAGAACCACAAAAGGAGGCTGTGACAGCTTTCAAATGCTCTGGAGGTTTTGTACAGTCATTCATCACCACTGTACCTGCTCCATTACATTTTGTTCAAAGATTATTGGCATATATCTAAAATGGGAATGGAGCAAGAAAATGACAAGCATATATCACTCTTCATCTATATGTTGGCTAGGTGTTTGGATACAGAAGTTTCAGCTGACTATTCACCACTTAAAGCTATCCTCAGTTACTGTTCTGAACTGTATCATATCTGTGAAAAAAGATGCACAATAGTAACAACAAGGATGATTACAGCCCTTCCATCTTCAAAGTACTTTTGAGGTAGTTGGATTAACAGTAAACTGCTAATCCAAAGAGAGATAACTCTTTTATTGGTATGATTTAAACACTGAGTGTGTTTGCCAGAAAGGCATGGGAATTATATCCTGAGCAGCAGCCACTGTTTTTTTACACAACTTACATAGAATAAATTACTTTTTAACATGCAGAGGAAAAAATTTTCTATTTAAAGCATATACTTTTGTTTTCAGTTATTGATCTATTACTAATGGGACTCAGTGTCACCCATAAAATCATTGTTTTATGGTAAGTTGAAGTGCATTACGGTATTATTTTACTAAACTGCATTCAGTGCACTGTAGATCTTCCACTGCCTGTTTTTCAGTAAATTTTAATGAAGCCTTTATCCTTAGTAAGTTACATATTGCTGGCCACAAAGTGCTGAAACATCTTTTTGTGTATCTGCATTCAATTTCTATTTGGCAGAAAGTGAAATGATTTTGTCCACAGTCCAGCAGTAATCTATGCTCATCCACTTCTCATTATAGATTGGAAGAAGTTCTGGTACAATGATGGTTCTAGCAAGTGTGTTATAGACTGGAAAATGCTTTTCATTAATACCTTGATTTGATGTAAATGATGCACGCGCAGTACCTGAACCGTATATGCTTCCACAAAACTGAAACTGAACTCAAATTGAGTTATCTTGAGCTCGAGCCCACTGGGAGCACTGGCACCTGAAACGTAAGACCACCTCTGGTACGGTATACATATTGCTGCCCTCTCCTGCAGTCCTTTCCCTGGACTGACCTTTCCCGTGGAGGTGGCAATCATCTGACAGCAAGCTTCAGTAGGTTTAGGTCTAAATCATATAGGGTCTGTCATTAACCCTTAGCACTCTTACAGAGAGTGGAGACTTTCCAGTTAAGTCAATATGCAGAGGAGTTTGTGCTTCGTAACTGGCAGTCCTGAATTAAAGTAAATTAGTGTGATCTACCTGTTGTATAGCTGTAAATAGCACTGAGCTCATCTTTGTCCTGACAGTCTTCATGCAAAAAAACGATGCTGAGATTATTCCTAAAGGAGGAATTAAGATAAGAAAGTAGTCTCCTTAGGCTCCTCTGTACTCAGGGAAGAAACAACCTTCACTCACAGGAGCTTTTCATTCAGAAATATCAGAAACTTCTTACTCTGATACTGTTTCCCCTTAAACATATTCATAGCGAATATAATTAAAATATCTTATACAGTGATAAGAATCCTACATGAAAATTTTAAGTAATGCAGAGAATAATTATTTGTTTGTTAGTAAAGACAGTAGGAGCCATTTGGCAAAAAACATCAAGCATGTTGTGATTTGAATCAAGATTTCAAGAGCTAATGCTATTTTTTCTTTCAAGGTAACTGCAATACACTCCTCACAATTGTTGCAGGTTTCCAGTGTTACACATAGTGTGCTAAGAGACTCTCAATTTAAAAATGACAGTAAACAAAACAAAGTGAAATAATTTTTAATTCCCTTTTTAAATGTGCATTTGAATTCAATACAGATCTGTAAGGCACTCTCATAGGTCAAAAAAAAATTAAACATTCTTTCCAAAATAAGGACAGTAACAAGGCAATGGTATGTGTGTAAAATATAACCTTATCTGTAACTGATAAACAATGAAATATGAATGTTCAGTTTTTGGATGCATTGCAATGTAATGTCACTTCTGTATCACGACACTACTCAGAGTAGATATTGGCACTGTAAATGATTTCTCATTGGGGTTAGGGGCTTGTATTCTCTTCATATCCCAGTAAAAAATAAACTCTTTAATAAATAAATATATAAAATAAATATATGCTATCTGGAGATGTATAAATAGGTCCATCCTGAAGAAAAGTTCCAGCTCTGACTATGATGCATCAACATCTAAGGTCCATCACTAAAGTGGAGCCACTAAAACTTCATATACAATTCTCGGGACTTATTACTGTTTTACAGTCTATTTCTTTCTACTTCTTCCAGCGGTTGTCTCATCCACGTGATGTAGGTAGTTCTTTGCTAATTTATGGCCCATAGGTAATCCAGACAAAATTGCCAAGAGTTTGTTAGTTTTAAAAAAGTCACACTCCAACTTCCCTCTGGTTACTGGCCACCGAACAGTTCAGCAAGTTTGAAGGAGGCTGGTCCACTACCAGCTTTAAGGCTTTGTCTCCTAAATCCAAAGGATAGAAAACAGAGGCTTGCCTATCACAAAGTAGCTTCTTCCAATCCAGCATCCTCGACCTCTGCAGGTTCCTCATGCTGGTATTGCCACGGAAGCAGGGGCAAGATCAAACAGCTCCAGTATGTTTTTTTTCCAAAGTTGCCTCCTTCCTCAGCTGTATCCTAAGACATCTTTGTACAGTTCTGGAACTCTTTCAGGATCCACGGGCCGGGGCAAGAAATGTGTGAATTTCTGGTGTCTTTTGGACCTTGCCCCATCTCTGGGAGTACCGTCTTTGTTAAGTGCTACGAAGTATCGCCGCCCCGAATCTCCATGTTTGTACACATTGGACGAGTAAGTGTTGTACCAGTTTTCCTCAAACTGTTCCCTGAAGATGCATTCAGACGTTAGTTTCTCCTACAGAAAGAAACGGTGAAGAAAAATAAGTCAAGCTGCCGCTAGGTATCTGAAAACACGTGAAAAAAATGTGATAAAAACAAACATAATGTTTTAGGCTGTGTGCTGCCTTACTGTTCATTTAACTGTTAACAAATCAAACCCAAGAAGAGTATGTAGCCTTGACACTGAGTTTGGAAGCCTAATTTATCCTTTATTCTTTTGAAAACTGGAGCTGTACATATACAATTTTGGATTTAAACATGAGTTAGATAACTCTCTCTCTAAGGCAGCATTACTCATTTATGATTTAACTAAAATTTACCTGACCTACAGGAACTATATTATGTAGAGTTCTGCCTTAGGGTATCCACCATTCTAGAAATGAGATTTGGTGGAGGGACACAGGTGCAATACAACAGATCAGGAAGGTATCTCCGTGTGTTCTTTGTGGTATGCACCACTTCTCACATTTTATCAAAGATTATATTTTACAGTCATGTTGAAGTTAGTCAACAGATACAAATTGTAATGCGTACAAGCTTATTTTCATTCTTAAATGCAAACATTCAAGTGTCAGGATCTGCAGGTATTGCCAGTAGTCTTGCACCACTCAGATGTTTCAAACAACAGTGGTACCTAACTGTGACATATGGTATTATCCTCTTTTTCCCAGCATTTGAAAGAATGCTTTCAGTTACAAAGCTGGTACCTGGAATTACCGCCTCCTGATTTGTAAAGGAGCATTAGGCTACACATAAAGTAAGTCAAGGTACTATATTAATTGTTGTTTATTTGTTCCATAATGATCCTTTTAACTTTTTTTTCCAATTGCATTCAATGTTTTTGATAATAGAATGTATGCTATGATACATTTGCAGTATTGATAAAAATGAAGTTAGATAGTAGGCAACTGAAATGCTTTTTGAACAGATAGTTTAATTTAGCTGGTTTTGTCATAATTTAAGAGGAATATTTCTTTTCAGTTCTCTTCATCTAGGACAGAGAAACTTTTCCCATCAAATCTTTAGTATCCAAGGCTATACCATATACTTTAAGAATATATTATACATTTCAACAGGAAAAGATGTTAGTGTTTTGAAAGCTAAGACTACCTCAGCTAGCTACTTGAGGGGTTTCATAGTGCTGAGAAGTGAATCAAAACCTCAACATGTATGAGCTGACGTGAAAGTGGTACTTACAGAGCCATAGAGTTCTCCCTTCTCATTCATTCCAAGGTAAAGGCCACTGTCCACGCCTCTAATACTGACCAGTCCCACTGCCACACTGATGAATTCAAGGATACCTGAATATATATCCAAAGAAAGAAGAAAAAAAAGAGAGATTGCTTTAACTCAACTTGTAACAAAAATCAATAAAAACATCCAAAATGTAGTTGAAAGCAAGCAGAAAATGTACGTATTATAATAAACATGGTCTACTTTTTTCCTGAAATTTCAAATATTGCACGGAAATGTATACAACATTCACAGGAAAGCAGTCTGAGAAGCCTCATCTAGGAACAAGAATCCTACACCATTTAAGAAACCTTTTTTTTTTTTTTTACGTTGAATGTGTGAGGATTTTATTCAGTGCTGAGGCTAAAGCATTCAGTACTATGCAGTTGCAATCTATAATGATTATACACTATTTGCTAAACTGCCTACTCAAGCATTGGAAGATAGGTTTGAATTACCTGAAAATATACTTTACTTTCTCTATAGCATTATCTTAAAAAAACACATCCATTATTAGATCATTTGAATGGAAATCAAAGTACAGATGGGAATTTTATATAACAGAATCTACCCACTGAAAAAATAAAGTATTTGCCAGACATCTTATCTAGCATATGGGCCCACACCTCTTGACACAACTTGCTATCTTCGGTGCAGGCTTTTTATGTGCATGAAATATGCTGCTTATTTGCTAATGTTTGGATTATAGCATTATTTATATTACATTTGCCCCAAAATGTAATATATATTAATAATATAAAGTATTCGGGAGATGAGGCACTATTTGAAGCCTGCAATTTGGCAAGGGTATGCCAACATATTTAACCAATTGATATGCACAGATTACAAAACATATAAAACATGAAAGAAAGGGAATATGTGAATTGGCTTTTTGGAAGTTGTTAACAATGTAAACAAAGCCTCAAAAAGAAGTTGTTCTAGAATCATACCTAAGATTTTGCTGTGCAGCAGCAAAACCACAAAACATTAAAAAAAAATCTGAATCTAAGGTAAGTGGTTTTAAATAGTGCATTTGATTTTGAATATGACTTTTTGTCTATTTGCTGTATTTATGATTACTCTTTTTCATTCAGGACCATTTTTCACTCTCAGACAGATGGACTGTCTGGACTATACAATAATTTAAAATGTTTTGAATTTTAATTGAGCTTTGGCAGGTTTCTTATTTATATTACCAAGCAGCAAAGAAAATAAATCCTTTACAAAGAGTAAGCATTAAAAATGCTATTGCATGTGAATCATCCTAGTCTTCCAGTTCCTAAAGCACAAAGTCCCATAAAAAGAGGTGGAGGCATTTTGTCTTTCTGGTATCATTTTCAAAGTCAACCTTTTTCGAAACTGTAATAAGCAGGTGATTCAACCCACAAAGCAACCACATCAGACAAACCTGCCTAGAATAGTGGTAGAATAAAGGAAGAACATTTCTAAAAAGCCCAGTAAATGTTTGATCTTGGGCTAACTTTTTCTTCTTTTAAAGCAAAGATTTATTTCATGTTTACATGCTGTAGGAAATCTTCCTTCTGAGAAGAACTGTCTGTTTGACTACTGCTCTTTTACTTCTGAAAACATCCATGTGTTATAAAAGCAATTAAGAGCCATTCCAGCAGATTGTTTTGACTATGGGGAGGATGATAGGAAACTCTTTAATCACCTTTTTACTGCTGCTAAATCAATACACACAAACACTCACATGTAGCTGACAATGGCAGGTTTGTTCAGATGTCCAGTTCCTACAGCTACTATTTAGGATTTACTCCTGTATCACAGGAAACATTTGCATTTTTGGGTTGTCCTCACCTCCTTTTGGTTTATTGACAGAGAAAGTACTGGGAAGCATTTTAAGTATTTGAGCAAAGAGGCATTTTGGGCCCCCTGCTTTAACTTTCTGTCCTGCAAAACAAAGCAGTCTAATGCAGCCTAAGGGTCAACATGCCTGAGTCCATGATCTACATTATTCTACAAAGACTCAAGAAGCTCCGATACAGACAGCGAATACAAAAAGAACCAGTCTGACTTTTGACCTTTCCCACTAAACCTGCAGGCGTATGCATGCGCTTATAGACATCCAGCACAGGCTGAGCAGGGCATACGTGCGTGTCTCTTGGCTTGCATGGGACGCGCAGCCCTCCTTCACTACCTTGCCCTGATGCCTTGGTGCAGCCCCCATGGTTTAATGCCGAAGGGGGAAGCTCATCCACCTGCCCCAGCATCACTTGGCATCACGCCTCCCTCCCAAGAGTACGACTGCTCACGCACAGGTACACACACACGCACTTCCATACACACATGCACACACACGCACATGCACAGACACCCACACGCACCCAAACACACGCGTACATGGGCACACGCGTGGATCTGCACACGTGCGAGAGCACACACGCACGCCCACGGGCAGAGCGCGGCCGGGGGCCGTGCCGCAGCCGCCTACCGAAGAGGCTGTGGTCCTGGCGGGTGCCGCGTACGCTGCCGTCGGGCAGGATCTGCAGGTGGAAGCCGGTGCGGCAGTACAGCTGCC